GTGTGTGTGTGTGTGTGTGTGTGTGTGTGTGTGTGTGTGTGTGTGTGTTTGCGCGCGCCTGCGTAAAGCTGCTGTGGTGCACAACCGGCACATCCATCTATTCTGAGTCTGGAAATATTAACTTTATAGGAGTTCATTACCATAATTTCTGTAAACACAGAGGGACTTAGATGTTTGGTGGAACATAGATCTTTGTTTATTTAWTAYCTGATATGAAGAAKRGAGTCTKTGCYCCTTAGTGYAGAGTTTTCYTGACATACATAATGTTGGCGATTAAAAGTTTAGAATAGTGTCGCCAACYGAACCAGAACCACAGAAACGTGCGTACGCCAGCCCTGGAGTTGGTGTYGGGCTGRACACATTTCCACTTTCATTTCAGTTTTGATACWTKCMGAGTTTTGCYTGGAAAATGGCGTACGCAAGGTTTTTGTGCYTWTGCAGCATTGATARGTGAGGCKCCAGGTCTCATAATGAGAAACATTTTGTCATTCAGCACGGTTTCATCCTTTGTACAGCTACACTTACTCAAAAAATCAGAGGTTGATTTTTTTTTCTTCAAAATGAGTTTATAGCACCTTTGATTATGTGTTGCACACAATGTASACTGTCTAGGGCACACTGCACTTAGCCCTACAGTAGAATAGTACTTTGTCTTCTTTACAAGTCAAGAACTTCATTTTACACTGACCTCAGGATCATGGCTTCTGAAGAAAACCTAGCAGCACAATCTATTGTTCATAAAGCAGCAGAGCCACCCACGCATTGCTTTCCTACTTAGTACACCATTTAATCAGCAATCACATTTTCTGCCCCTCYACCTACTAGGAAGCAGGCTTGGGCCAAGTGATGAGTAGATTGTCATTCTGGGGAGATTTTTTTTTGTTTGAAAAATGGGTGAAATGACAAGATTAAGCCTTTCCATGTTATTGTGTCCCAGTGTCATTTCCTGTGGTGTAAGAGGGTTAATTGAAATGACAGTTCTGGTTAAGTTCATGAAATAAGATGAAAAGACCGACATAGATTCATCTTGTACTAATATAACAAGTCCAGTGAATAAATGCCAACACACACAGACTGTTTTATATATTTACTATTTAAAGAGCCATGCACATGCCTTTGTGCTGCACCTGGTGTTTTAGATTTATCAATTTTACTAGAAGAATTCTTCCGTCAAATGTAGTTTAATTAAATAAAAATAAATAAGCCTTGTACTGATCCACACACATTAAAAAACATAGTGTTTGATCCAAGGTCTAAGTACGCTAACATTTTACAAAGTACATTTAACATCAGTTAAACAAATGTGAGTAATTTCTAAATACCTTAGWCACTTACCAGTAAGGTTTTTAAGACCCAACTGCCGCAAACCAAAGTTTCCATCTCGTCTGTAATTGAGGAAGATTGCAAGTGAGTAGCGGTCCTCATACAGTTTGGTTCCTCGGATGATCCTCAAGTTCTCCAAAGGTAGGAAGTCAAACTGGTTTAAAGCCACCAACACATAGCCTGTCACTTCTCGGATAGACTGGGGACACAAGAATGAAAGAAGAGATGTCAGAAATCTTTGTCCATACCTTGGCTTTTATTATGTTTCTATGATTGTCAGAAATAAAAAGTACTTAGT